TTTAAGATTTAAGTAACTGTTCATATAGAACACTAAAAAATGTTATTAACATACGGTCAATTAAAAATCGTCTAGCAATTTTGAGCAGAAAAAATAGTCAATGAACTATGTATACTATGTAACTAATTTTTTTCATAACTCAGTAATTTAATCTATTTTTTTACACACGATTTAAAAAAATGGCGAAGGAGCTGGTCATACAATATGCAAATACTCGGAATAATAATATGAAAGTAAATTAAAAATAATTATGTTTCAAAATCTAGAGAAATTACAGCGTATCCTGCTTATTATTGGATAATTCTGTTTATAAACTCAATTAAGAATTACGAAAAGAAAGAGCGAATTTGATTTTCTAAGTATACTCATAAAAATTGTATGTAAAATTACACGCTGGGTCATTGGTTATTTTGACGTCATTGACATCATAAGGTTACATCATAAGTACACTTTTTGTGTAATTTACTTAAAATGTTGTACATTTACTTCTCTAAAGTCCAATTTTTCTAAGAACCAGAAAACTATACATATAGTATTTTTAAGAAAAAAAAAATCTAGACATTCGTACTTTATAATATTTTTAGAATCATCTAAAAGAGTTGATCAAGTCAAATTAAATTTGGTGCGTAATAATAAATAGTAGTATTTTCTGACAGAGAGTAAATTATACAGAAAAGAACTGTTATATTTTTTCCAAAAAATTTCAAAATGTAATTTAAGAACTTTTTAAAACGACAGAATGCAAATTACAGTATAAAATTTGACTCAATTATCACAAAATTTTACTTTTTCTTCAGAATACATTATTTATTAATATTTATCGCCATGGTAGCGTAGTTGGTCGAGAGTGCGGTGGCAAGCATTTCTCATCCAGGCTTCCTATTCTGGTGCGAGTTCGATTCCTGGCGTCGGCACTGGCAATGTCGATGGATAATGGGTGTTTGTCAGCGTTTTTTAAGTGTAGTCCCCTTCCGCACAGCCTTTGGCTTTGGATTTGGGGGTTCTCTCATTTCTATGGTGTGTTTTACGTTTTTTTAATCCGAAAAAGTAATATTATCCTTTAAATTTTTAATAAAAACGAGTTAACTCTTTATATAAAAGTATGTTGCGTTTACAAAACAAAATATTTTTAATTTATGTTCAAATAAATCCAGAAATAACAAGCGCTCGTCGTCTGTATGAGGCTTATTCCAGTTATCCAGTTCCCTCCACAGCCAATGTAGAAGAGCAATGTTTGGAGGAAGTGACTCATGTAGCTACTAGCCTCCCTTTTGTCTAGAGAACCGTTAGGAAACAACCACTGTATCCACACCACAACCAACATGTGCAAACATTCAATGCACAAGACTGTCATCCAGATTAACATTTTGTAACTGGGTTTTAGAGAACACCTGCCTTATTTCTTCTTTCACCAGTTCGGAAGTACCTTAATTGAGCAAAGGTGGATTGGCTATTGTTCAATATTCGTTAATTTTAGTCATTTAATCATATAATTAATTTTAGTCCTAACTTAGTAAGTATTAGTAAGATTGTATTCGAAATAACCTGCCTTTCTGTTTGTTTCTTATTACAATTTTTTTTGTACATTTTTTTAAAGAATTTCCGAATTAAAACTCGTGATTAGGGACTTTGAAATCAACGAGCTTCAGTCATAACTTTCAAATTTTGAATGCTTTTCCGATTTTTACATCAGCCATATTGGATCCGCCATCTTTTATTCAGGAATTTTCGGATTCGGACAGCAGATTCGTAATCAGCGACCTCAAAAACCCGCGGTAACAGAATTCAGGCAAAAATATAGAATAGATAAATGCGTGACTTGAAGGGGCAAGTGGGACTCTAGTCTGTAGGTGGTTTAAATTATGTCTGTTGAACTAACCTTTAAGAAAGAATGTGAGTTCGTCAGAAAAGCATGTACAATATGAAAAATTGGGATTGTTCAAGATTTTTTCACTCATCTGTTCATAAAATTGTATATGACGATCTGGATCATCTTCATTGAGCTCTTATAGGGATGGAATTAATGCTTTTTCAAGGTCCTCTGAAGACTACTACCTGGAATTCCTGAAGTTGCTTCTAATTTTCTGGTGCTTGAAGTGGGATCCAGTTCAACATGTCCCAAAATTGCAACCTGTACAGCCTCGTCAGTGACAGTGTGTTGCCTTTCATGTGTTTTGTTAGCAACTGATCTAATCTCCATGAATTTAAATTTGAAATTTATTACGTAGGGATGGCTGAGTTTCTTACCGGGATACCTTTCATTAAAAATTCTTGCAATTACCTGGTCCATTTCATCATTTCGAAAATAGAGAGTGACATTTTCAATTCTCTCTGCAGTGGTGTAAACCATGATAATTTGAATCGTTTGCTTCAAAATAGCGAATAATTACAAATTAATGGATTTCACTACCTAGACAATTCTGATTGATGTAAAATCGGAACAAAAAAACTACGTGTAAAATTCTAATAAAACCCTTCGATGACAAACCTGATTTTTCAGTTTCATTATCCGGTGAGTTTTTTTATTACTATTTTAAGTCTTTTTTCGATTTAGTTCACCGACACTTCCAACAGTTTTTTTACATTAATTTTAAGGCAAAACAACAAAATTTCAGCTTATTTGTAAAGAGAAGAGAAATACCTTTAAAATGATGTGTCACTTAACCCCCGTGCCATTTAAGGTTTTTGAAGGGATTGCCACCCCGTTTACGGGGATAACCCTCCATCCATGAATTTAAGATCATACGATGTCCCCTTTGAAAGCAAAATCGACCTGTTTCGGGGTTTTCCGGAAAAACCTGCAATAAAAGTATTTCAGGTGGACTATTTTAATTAGGCCACATTGTATATTTGGAAATATAAAATACAAGGTAATGATTTTTCACATTGTTTTGCATTCATTATTTGATCTTAAGCGTGGAATTAAACTCCCTCGGTGGGGTGAGGTGGGTGTGGATTTAATTTGCATATATTTGTTTCCAATGCTCAAAATATAAGTTTAAAATGTTTTGCCAAAGTATTTTCAAATTGTTACTTTTCAGTATAAATCTGTAGCCTATAAAAATGCCCTAGTAGATCAATTTAAAAATACAGAAGATCTATGTATTCATGTCTGCTACAGAACATTTTTTTTATGGGGCTGTGTAATTCGTGTGCATGTCAAGGATCAATTACGTACAGTGCATGGACATGAGAAGTTGCTACGTCTCTAGTTTTACAAGAAGTCCATTGAAGTTCTTATGAAGTCTGTATAAATAAATTATGAATATAGAATATCCCGAACAAGAATTTATGGGATTAAAGCGTGTTATTTGGGAGTGTAAATGTAAAATATGATGGAATGAAGCATTTTTTATTCCTGATGTATGACCACTATACATTAATATGTTACAAATGTAAAACATTAGTGACTTCCTAGCGGCAAATAGGCCCATTCAGTAGATTTTTTTTGCATATTCCAAAAGTTTACCCTTTAATTAGTTAGTATGCCAAAAATCAATTTTTTGTTTCAACGAGAAATGTGTGAAATAAATTAATGAAAACAGAGCGCGGAAAAACGTTGAGCAACCATTGCCTGACGTCATAATAGAGCACTCCGCTCACGCTCGCTCTCTTCCCATTCTGTGTTAATACATACGATATGTGGATCGATTCGCAGTTTCGTTAATTATTGTTTTTATGTCTAAATGGGTCGAAACCGAGGATTGTACAAATATTGTATAGTTCCAGGCTGCAAAAGTACCTCAGGATCGACTCCGAATAAAATATTTATTTCATTACCGAAAAATGAAAAGTTTGTGTGATGTTATCCACGGTTTCCCCAGCCACGGTATGCAACTCAAAACCACCTTCGTTTTTCTTTGGATGCACGTCTAGGGGGTTGTAAAATATTATTATTTGAACATTTAGAGCACAATTCTCAACTTTATGCCGGAAATAAATTCTGCCCCATCTAAATGTTCGTGTTCACAAAAAATTCGAAATACGTCGGCGAGAGGGACCTATAAGCAGTTAAGAACCACTCTCGTTTTTCTTTGGTTGCCCGTCTAGGGGGTTGTAAATATTATTATTTGAACATTTAGAGCAGAATTTTAAAATTTATGCCGAAAAAAAAATTTCTGCCCCATCTAAACGTTCCCGTCCACAAAAATTTCAAAATACGTGGCGAGAGGGACCTATAAGCAATTTATTTACATAATAATGCTTTACAACCCCCTAGACGGACAACCAAAGAAAAACGAGGGTGGTTCTGAGTTGATTCAAATACTAGTTAAAGTACTACTTGCAGTCGTCGCATACATCCACAAGTACCGAGTCTAGTACGTTGGGTACATTTGTACATTTGTACAAAAATGGAACGCAAAAGAAAATGTAAAAAAGCGAACCATTTACGTCATTGAGAAAAATCCGAAAATGTATTTAAGTATTCCAAGTCATTCTATGTTTATAATAAATATGTTGTGTGGAAAATGAATGAAAAATTTCAACAAGACTGATGTACGTATATCTCTTATACACTCTCTATTTAGGTATATAATATAGGTAAAAGTATAGCAAACATCTACACATCTCTCTGACTCGATCGCCGAGTGGCCGGTATCGTGACGTCATTACCTGTTCTCCCTTTTTAAGGGTCTTACAAATTCAGAATTAAATATATCACTATTAATCCTATTGACCTATTTTTTTTAAGACATATTTAGGTGGTTACATACAATCAGAAAATTATCGAAAAAGTTTAAAATTATATATCACTGAATGGGCCTATTATGTCTGAAAACGATAAATCTTAAATAAATTTTTTTACTGAAGACGATTGTTGAATATTTTGAAACTATAATATGGAAAAACTTACTTACTTCGCAACCATCTACCATTTGAAAGCTACGCCAATGTGTCCCACCGATAACTTGTGGATTGCGACGCACGCGGCTATCCACTGCTCGACGCCAGTCATCGATAGAATTCCGGGCGTCACGGCGGTGTAGTGGGGTCAGCGCGCCGGTCATCTAATCAATGGTACCCACTTGAGTACTTGCGGCTTCGTTTTCAACGCACTAAGTTTCAATAATAAGTGAACGGTGCACGAGCGTTGTCATGCCTATGAAGTATGTGTAATAATAACGTAACCAACCCCTGGGGACTTCAGGAAGTGAAGTCGGCGACGTGTCCGGCCTTCAGCTGTTGCCCGTGTGTCTTTAAGACCGGGAAAGTTGTTGATATTAGTGCCGTGTCTAAGCAGTCCACTCCTGTGGTGGCGGTTACTCTTCCCCCGGAAGCGCTAGTGAAGTGAGTTGTGAAATTTTACAAGTTTTTGCAATGCATGATGCCTTTATTTTGTTTTATAAAATTGGAAAAAGATATAGTTTTTTAAATAACTTTTAAATGCTCTATTCGACAATGATTTTGCTTATAGAAATGGAACAGTACCCCCACCCTTTATATGCTTTTTTTGGCGGGCATTCTTACAATTTCAATTCATGGGTTTTTGAAAGTTGTTTCTTTGCAAATGTTTTGTTCTATTAACGACTAACGTAATAATTTTAACTGAATTTAACTTAATCGGCAACGTATTTTCGATACAAATTTGATTGATATTAAAAATTTATTTATTTTGTAATAGGAACTTTATAATTCTTTATACTATTTAGAGACTCTCAATAAAATGTCATTCACAAATATTATAACACTCCGAATCTGACGATTTTATAATTAGAAACAACTTATCACAATTCGAAATAATTTATTTATAAACATTCGATTACAAGTTTCTGAACTTCACAAATCAATATGTCATGTTTATAGTAAACTAAATAAAATTGCAAATAAAGCATTTTTGGTTAGGATTGAGCCGATTTAGGATACGGTTGACATTCTTCTAAATTGATATACAGGGTGTTTCCTATATTGAAGATGATATATGAAGGTAGAGATGTCGAAAAAGTATCAATTCGTTACATTCGTTACATCCGAAGTAACGATTATTCGTTTGAAAAAGTATTCGTTACTTTTGCTTATTTGATTACTTCTTGGATATAGACAATACAGAGTACTTTATCTAATGGAATACGGATTTGGATACTTACTTATGCAATGCTCAATTGACACTTATTCATATTATATCGACAAGAAACGAGTACTTGTATTGTTACGTTGCAATTCAATTTGTTTTGTGTACCATATTTTTATACCTCTACTTATATTAGAAAAAATATTTCCTATAAAAGACTAAAATATGCATAAGACTGTGTATATAATACATAATCTAAAAATTAATATGTACTTTCTATTTTTGTTTATTTTAAAACTGTTTGTTTATTTCCAAAATATATGTTTATATTCGTAATTTTATCGTTGCATTATAATATATTTTTTTATCAAACAAACCTTAATATTTCAGATATTAACACTGCATTTCTTTTTTAAGAGAAATTGAGGTTAGATTATATTCATAATATGATGCGGCTTGATATTTACTCGTCTATAACTTACAGTACTGCATATCAATTAGGTAATTACTGATTACTATTCTATTTAGAATATTTTGAAGCCACTACTCATAGTAATCAAAGTAACGAATACAAAGTACCGATTACTTAAACCGAAAGTAATCGGTACTCATGATTACTCAAAAGTAATCATATTTGACATCTCTAATGAAGAGTAACTAAATCGATATGCAGACTTGCAAACAGAATATCTATATTTTGTAAATACTTAATGACCTATCACACTGATACGATGAAAACATTTTTGGAAACGCTAACTCCACCGATAGCTCTGCCTTGCACAATTCTATCCCCTTATATTTGTTACTGTCGTATTTAGAAAAAAATTGTATGGGTCAAAGTTGCAGGAAGCTTCTACTTCTAATGATAATGGAGGTATAGTCAAAAGAGGATGCCAACAATAAATCCTTTAGATTATTTTGGCCATATCTCCTTTATTATCAAAAAAATACCAGTGAAACCATATAATTATAATGTTAAACAAGTATTCTATCCAAATGAATTCAAGTGTACAGGGTGCTCTGTTAAAGAATATAAAATTTTCGTTTGTCAAAGAAACAAACAAACAAAATACAACATTCAGCTGTTTTTCTAATTACAGCTTTGGAGTGAAAACAATTTTCTAGAACTTTTCCCCAGACTATCTTTTTTATAAAAATACAAAAGTAAAAAATGAAAGTAGAATGGTATTTGAATAATCCAGTATACATATACATAAATATGTGCAGCTGATAGTTTTATGCAACGTTTCCATTCGTTATCAATATCCTTTGATTCATTGTTACTGTATTGTTGGACTATTTTGGTATACTTATTCGCACTTATTGGTATACACACCACAGGCACACTGCCCTTTCAAAAAATGAAAACATAATAAAAAATAGGAATCTAAAAAAATGAATAATAATTACCACAATAAAAAATACAAGGTGCCACCTAACGAATTTTACATACTTCAAGGGTATAATCTAGAACCCAAAAGGTGTCGATTTAACCAAACTTGCTTAAACGAAAAATGTCGCAAAAAAGTTTACAGGTTTTTAAAATTTCTTTTTTTTATTTTTTGTTTCCTCCTTAACTCAGAACCCAGTTAACCGATTTGAGCAAAATTTGCTGTTGCTTAGTTTCTCTTCTTAAAGTATGCAGAGATTATGTTCCTATTAGGTTAAATCATACAGGGCGTTCATTTTACTACAACCCTTTGTGAGTATTCTTCTGTAACTTTTTGTACGTTTAAATTTTTACACGCAACTATAAGAGATAGGGAATTTTATTCTACAAAAAAAATGTATATATACGTACATACCTGTCAAATGACGAAATTATGTTCAGTTATGAAGATATTACAGAAAATATTTATTAACACATACCCCATATTTTTTGAAATTACTACATATCCATATCCAATTCGTCACTGTCAAGTTAGTGTTTTGCAAAAGTTTGCTCCTAAAATTGAGGATGACGCGCTATTTACGGCTGCAAATATTCACCTCTTTTAATGTAGTATGTAAATCGGGGACGATTCCAGCGATTCTCAATAAATTTTAACTATTTTAATTATTACTCTTTAAACATCGTTTTGCAGTTTCGATTATTTCGATTACTGAAAACTATATTTATTAAAAAAGTCCGCTCCAAGTTTGTAAACATCCTGTTTATACACAAGTTCTAGCATGTGAAATATCATTTATGTATACTTGAAAACTACACTAGGCACAGAAGTTAAGGGATATTAAAAAAATCCCAAAATTTTGGGTAAGAGCTGTAACTTGGAGGGAAATGGTCGTAGACATAATAAAAATAAAGTAAATTGAAGCTCCAGATGTCTAGTTTTCAGATCTGTAGTTTAAATTTTTTAGCGTCAGCAGTTTTTGAGTAGGTAATCATAAGAAAATCAACGAAAGAAAAAGTTTGTAAATTTTTGCTTTTTTTTAAAAGCCTATGGACCTCAAAAATTTTTTTTTTGTTGATTTCACCATAAAACTCTTTTAGATAATTAAATTCTCTTCAGTTTGAGCGGTTGTACGATTAGTAAATAGTAAATAAAGTAAATTGTAACCTGCAACGTCGAATCAACCAAATTTTTGTTTGTTTGTGAAGCTTATGGATATGTTAAAAAAAATCGAAAAAAATTATTTTTGAAAGAATTATTTTTTTTTCATTTATTTAGAATCGTGGACGTTTTTTGATGAAGAATTGATTTTCAGCAACAACAATTTTAAACATTCCGGGCACTAGGAAAAAAATCGCAGCGCTTTGAAATTATCAGGGTTTCTTTAGGACACTTTCAGGTTGAAAAGGTTACAGTCGATATCCTTAGTTTATTTATTATTTGCAGTTATGCCAAGTTATTCAAATATCCCTAATTATGCATTTTTTTACCATTTTTCTAACCAACATTTTCACTTTGAAATTTTTTTTATCAAAAACCCATAATTACGACTTATAGAGAATACTTTGCAGTTTCGAGATCCCTGTTTGAATTTTCTGTACGACCATTATTTCCCGAGTAATTGATTGCCAAAATCAAAAATGATTTTTATGCTATGATCGACGATAACTCTGCGACAAATAATCGTACAAGGCTCCGGAATCGCTTAAATGAAAGAGTATTAAATTATCTAAAAGAGTTTCATGGTGATATTACCAAAAAAATTTTTTTAAGTCCATTTGGCTTTTTAAAATAAGCAAAAATTTACAATTTTTTTTTCCGGTGATTTTCTTATGATTACTCAAGAACTGCTGAAACTAAAAAATTTTAAACTGCAGATTTTAAAACTAGACACTTGAAGCTTCAATTTCCTTTGTTTTTGATACTCTCTACGACCATTTCCCTCCAAGTTACAGCTCTTTGAAAATCACCCAAAATTTTGGGATTTTTTTAATATCCCTTAATTATGTGCCTAGTGTATTTCGGAAGTTTGGAATAATTGAGAGTTTTTCTCAATTAGTCCACAATCTTTCAATTTTTTGTCAACCTCGATGCTCTCTAGTAACTAAGCGAAGTAAATTTGAATTTTGAAAATTTACTTTGTCTTATTTTGGTATAGCTGGATGGTGGCTCCATGTACCTGAAATATGGAACGAAAGTTTTGTTAATTCTTTTTTCATACACTTCACATTCCACTCATTCATGGGTTAAACAGACATATTTCTACCACATAGAAAATTGTTTATTTTTAGGTGCTTTATCACTTTACTTAGTCATTAAAGTTAAAGTTAAAATTAAAATTAAGTTATACTTTTCAGAACTGTCATAAATATTGAGAATAATCGAAAAGAAAATTAAGTAAACTTGACACCTATCTGATTTATAGTCTATTCTATACAACATGAAAATAACTATTCCATACCTTATGAAAATCGGAGATTCCTGCTTGACCAAAGGCCATGTCATATGAATTGGTAACACTTAATATAAAAATTGTGGAGGTATTTAAATACTACTAATTAATTATTTTATACAATACTTAATTCGTTTTAATAATTAGCTGTTTATCTTTAAAAAATTTATACCTATAGGTTTATTGTTATATATAAATGCCATAATTAAATAATTAATTTTCAAGAGTCTTGTTAGTACCGTAATAATCGTATCAATATTCCAATTACCTTTTAAAATTAAGCTGATACTCATAGCCCCCATGGATTGAATATCTATTCTTGAATACTGTTAATATTAAATTTATAGTCACGATATATATTTTTTCATGCTAGCCTACCGCAGTAATATAAATTCTTATATTATAGTCTTCACTAATTCATCAATATCTTTACAGA